GGTAGAGCAAGTACAGGCTGCCAACCCTTCAGAAGCAGGTCTGCTGCTGAGCCAGCGTGCCCCGGGGTTTCTGGCTTTGAGAACAGCCCTCATCTTAAAGAATGTTCCTCGTGTCCTGGGACGACATTCACAGACCGTGGTGACAGCTTCATGGGTGCATGTTCACCTCCCAACTCATCCAATGGTGTATTTCAAACACGTATAGCTCTTTGTAGGCCCATCATCCCTTAATAACATGGTTATCAGCCAGGTGTTGTGGCATACACCTATAATCCCAGCAGCTCGGGAGGCTGAGGCAGGAGGATCGTGAGTTCAAAGCCAGCCTCAGCAAAAGTGAGGCGYGCTAAGCATCTCAGTGAGACCCTGTCTCTAAATACAAAATAGGGCTGGAGATATGGCTCAGTGGCCGAGTGCCCCTGAGTTCAATCCTCAGTACCAGCTGGGGGTGGGGTGGGGTAGGGTGGGGTGGGGACGGGGACATGGTGTCAGAATATTCACACGTACCACGCACGGCTATGGTTGACTCTCCGTGTCTGCCTGTAGTGACCTCATGTCACAGGAGCTGTAGCCACAAGGTCCCTGCCTTCTCCCATCTCCATGTGGTACGTGAAACCTAGAAACAGCTGACCACAGCTGGCAGAAGTTCCCAGGGTGAAACAGTCACTCTCTGGGTGTCGAGCCAGCGCCTCACAGGAAACAAACGGAAGCTTGTGCCAACACGGCTGTCCCTGTGCCCTGGAGCCAGAGCGAGGATGTTAGGGTACACACAGACTCGACCTCAACCCCGAGTCCAACAGCCCTGCAGCCGTGAAAACGGAGCACACAAGCCTTCTGGAGTCCTGACATCCAGCACATCTGAGGAGGCCTGTGGCTTCACCAAGAGTTCCCTGGAGTCAGCGACGGTTAAGAAGTCGACACAGGAGCAAATTCACTGACTCTGCCAAGCAATTTCAGAAGTAAAATGTGAATAGTTCTCTGCAAAAATTTGCTTTTACAAGATCGTGCAGCGTGTGCTAACAGTTGGGGGATGAGTGGTGAGACCTCCCCAGGCCAGAGGCCAGTGCGTGGGCCACGGAGCTCTCCCAGGGCTAGGGTGGAAGCGCACTGCTGTGGTCCAGCTGTGCTCCATCGCCCAAGGCCAGGGCTGGGGCATGGCCTCAGCATGGGAGGCTGAGGTGCTGGGTCCTTGGGAGGCAGGAGAGCAGAGGCCACTGGCCTGGGAAGGGATGAGTGCCCTTCAGGAGGGTCGCTTCTGGGGCTGCACCTCATGCTGCCAAGCAAGTCCTGCTTTCAGGGCTCCCACGCTTCTTCTCTGTCCATGAGCCCCTCTTCACCTGCCTTGAGCTCCCGCCATCCRATGCCACCACCAGCGTGTGTCGCAGCTGGGCTCCTTGTGGTGCTGTGTGGACCTCAGCCACTAGAACCGTGAGCCAAATGAACCTCTTGTTTTGGTAAAGTGCCCAGTCTCAGGGATTGTTATAGTGACACAAAACACATTAAGCAGGGGAAATTCTCATTTTATTATCCAGAACATCAACATTTCAACATGTAACCAACTRGTATAAAAATGGAGACTTTTACACCAAGTTTTTGTACTAAGATCTGAGTCTGCTGTGCATTAGGCCAACCAACTCCGGTGCCTTCAAAGTTAAATCTCCTCTTAAATGACCCTGTTTGCCCTGAATGACCACGATGGCTTGGAACAGAGATCTGCATTTCCTACGGTTCCTCCCAAACCAGGTCACAAACAGTGCTCAGGGAAGCAAGTGCCCAGAGCCCCAGTGGGCTCCAGGTTCCAGTGTCCCCGAGGGGGACATTACGTATGAAATAGAGAAATCAGGAATCCGACTTCTGACAAATTGTCTCTTTCAATTTTCCAAGGAGGCCACCAAACGTTCTACAAAGTATKAAGAATATTCTCTCAACAGGAAAAACAATCTTTCAACGGCATTTTTCAAATATCTTGTCAGCTTGGTGACAACAGCAAACTGGCCAGGCAGATGACTCTCACTGCCAGTGTCCTGGGACCACACACCAGCACCTGCTCCAGTCCTGGCACCAGGCTCACTGGCGCCATCTGCTGGCCTGACCCAAACCACCTTCCACTACGGGAATTCTTAAGGACAACCAAGGTAGGCGCCACCCCATCTGGCAGTTATGTTGGCAACAGCACATGGGCCAGCCATGGAGCCCCCCTCTGGGCCTCAACGCYGACTACAGACAGCAACCTTTTTTGACTGTCTTACAGCTGAGGCCACTGAGGCTCAGAGGTTCCAATCACACACTCCAGGTTGCACAGTGGTGAGGGGAGGGATTTGCTGCCAGGCGTCCACTCCAGGAGCATATGCAAGTGCCGAATACCACATCATCAATGTCCGCCACCCCCATGGTCGCCCCCTCTTTGGGAGGAATGCAAAGAAACAGTTCCACTACCATGTGCAGGTGCGACTCAAGGCCATGGGACCTCAGAGTGCATCCTAAACCACCCAAACAATAGGCGGAGGAAAATCCCACCCATGGGTGTCAAGATCCATGACACAAAGCAACAGGGGCACCACAGGCGGCCACCAAGCTGCCTCCAGTGGTGCTCCTCGGCAGGGTCTGGGCTCTGTTGTGGCTCTATTTTTTAGTTAAACTCCGGGTGCCACAACTGTATTCACTTTGGAACTCACAGTGGGCTGTGATTCCACCTGGGAAAGGCTGCCTGATGGCCCCGTGTTTGGGGCACATGTTAGCTCACTCCTGACAGAACCCTCCTTCAAAGGAGACTCAAGATTTTGGTTAAACAAGGAAAAAAAAGTTTCCTGAATCACTCCCAGAACTGGAGATGGGCTCCATCAAGTAGCTGAGACAGAATGACGTCAAATGACGTCGGCTGACAGACCTCTCCAGTGAGGTGACCCCAGGATGCTGTCAGCTGGCACATTTTCTCTTGTCCCAGGTCTCATCTTTGTTGTTTATTTTCATTGTATCAGTTCTTGTGTTTATGCCTGACTTTACACAAAGATCCTAGTTTTCCATGTTTTTTTTTTCCTATAAACTTGACATTTATTTTACATTTTAAAAAAGTTAATTGTCTTAGTTTGTGTTGGTAAAAGAATACCACAAATTGGGCAATTTATAAGGAAACTTCTCAGAGTTTGGAGGTGAGGAAGAGAATTTCAAGGTGCTAGCACCTTGCTGCTTTGTCAGGCAAGAGCCTGAGCGCACGCTGCAGGCAGGGAACACACTCCTCCTATTAGGAGCCATCCTCCTGGGACACCAGCACTGACCTACTTGCCAGGGCAGAGCCTCCTGACCTAGTGGTCACTTCTTCACAGTTTGTTGCCTTGGGRACTAAAATTTTCAACACTTTGTTTTTTAGGGTGAATTTAAGAAAAGTAAGTGAAAAACAGGGAGGAGGTGGCTGAACGTGCACGCCCGGGAAAGCTATCATTAACTCTCCACACTCCACATGGGCAGGTGTGTGCTCTGCTCCCCCAGAGGCTCCTCTGGCATGAAGCGATCTCCAGTGGGGCTGGGAGGCAGGGGTCAGCTGGTCACTCTCAGGTGCATGTGCCCACAGGGCTTTCAGGCAGGCTTCACAAGGCCACATGCCCCTGCCACTGTCCCCCACCCACGCCTCCAGACCTGCAACACCACCTCGCCCAGCACCGTCTCGCCTGCAGCTCTGGGGACCAGCCCGTGCTGACGAGCTGCCAAGGCAGTGGTGCTGCAAACCAGGGGTGAGAGGAAAGCTTGGYAGCAAGAATGGGAGAGGCAAGTCCACATTCCATGAGCCCAGGGTGTCTCTGTCACATCTCTCCCCCTTCTTCTATGCTGTGAATTTTCTTAATAAAAATGTTTGAAAACATGAAATGAAAGAACTCAAAGTCTTTTGCACAAGGYTCAGGGCTCCATAGGTGCAGCTGTTCTCAACAGGCTCATGGGTGAAGGTTCAGTGGTAGAACAACTCCTGACCTTTATCACAGCAGCCAAGGGCACCTGGCCCCTTCCATAAGGGCAGCTACTCAAGCAACGTTCAGTACAGGAGCCTGCAGGGACGAGGAAGCTCCTCGAAGAGTCCAGGTACATTTTAGGAAATGTGTAAGCAAATACTTTAAGAAGCTTCATGATTTCAACAAACACTGGCTCGTCACACTTTATGTTCCAGATTCTGGGTGGCGGAGACATGAGCCCTGGTGTCTAAACTAGGATTCCCACCTGTGGGCACCCAGCTCCTTCACTCTGGGTTTCTGGCAGCCCAAGTCCAATCCTGGGTTTAAGCAAATGTTTCAAACCTGCCAATTAGAAAAACTATCCCCCCTTTGATGATGTGGATGGCCCAATCCTGGAAAATGACCACTTAACAGATTCATGACTTGGACTTGTCATTTTCAACCACAGCCAGTCACTAGCTCCTTAAAGAATGATGAAACTTAAAAGAATGATGCACCAAGTTAAAGCTGACAAGTCCCAAGTAAAGCTGGCCATGGAGATGTTCAAGCTTGGATCTCTCCACACATCTCTGCTTTCTGCTCCATCTTCACATATATATAGGGCCATAAAACCACAGGGCTGATTCACACAGGGAAGAATTAGCTCTGAATAGTTAACTTGAGAATAACAGGTTTCTTTTGATACCTGGGAATGAACCCAGGGGCCTTAACCACTGAGCCACATTCCCAGCCCTTTTTAATATTTTATTTAGAGCCAGGTTCTTGCTGAGTTGCTTAGAGTCTCGGTAAGTTGCTGAGGCCGGCTTTGAACTTGTGATCCTCCTGCCTCAGCCTCCTGAGCTGTTGGGATTATAGGCATGGCCACCATGCCCTGTGTACCTACTTTTTTACTCACTAAAAAATAAAATTTGCAGGCTGAAAAACAGGGGCCAAGAGTTAACAGGTCTAATTTATTCATGATCTACAAAGAATTTAAAGCATGGATTACAGGCAAACTCTTTTGGCAGCAAACTTTATTTCTACTGCTGCTTCTGAACAGGCAAATCCATCTTGGAACAGTACTGATGTCAGATCTCCACAGTCAGCAACCCCAAAGCAACATGGCATTCGCAGTGCTTGGAACCACAGGGTACAACAGCCTCAAACAACAAACACCGAGTTTCATTTTGGATACTTACCAGTCAGGGCATTTCCAGAGTGAAAGAGCAACCCTCAACATGACCACCACTGGGGGCACAAGTTCAGAGCAATTCCCACGCAGGGGACCTGGTTTTAACCTGAAGACCACACAAATGCCACCCATCTGGGCCTTGTAAGGCAGCCCACCAAAGTCCTGTCTCTTAGGAAGAGGACAGTTCCCACTTCAGAATGGCCAGGAAACTACCCAGTAGAGCCGGGGAGCACTGGGAATTCTAAAGGGAAGCAAAAGGAAAACCATTCCACTCTGCTTGCCAACACATGGAGGGACTGGGACATGCCACAGGGCAGGGGTGATCACAGCTCGGGATTCATTCTCTAAGGTGCGAGATTTCTCCATTTCCCAAGATGGGTGAAAATAACTCACAGCCCAGTGTTGATGCTGAGCAGGATAATCACTGCTGAGGACTCAGGGCAGGCAGGACAGGGGAGAAGGACAGAAAGAGCTAGCGGCAACCTTCAAAATATTTTATTACAAAATACAATACAGGGTTGATACTTGGTTTCCCCAAATTCTCTAACACATATGCTGCTGAAGGAAGCACAGTAAAATACCTGGCACTGCCCACAAGACTCTAACTTCTATAATAATTTTGTTCCCCTTAGAGTTATAAGAAAACTCTGCAGCAAGTAGTAGAACAGAGGCGGCAAGTTGCCGTGGACAGCTGGGCTGCCTGCTCAGCAGTGACCTGTGTCCTCCAGGGGTTGGAATCCACGTCCATGGCAGAGGTACCCATAGCTGGGGCCCTCAGAGCRGAGAGAAAACAACTCTGGACAACCAGAAATCTCAGGTTGCTACTTCTTATTCCTGGGCTTTAGCTCTTCAGCTGCATTACGAAGGAAAATGTAATTTTTCTTTTGGGGATTATAAAACTCGTGTCCCTAAAGAGGAAAAAAACACAAGGATCTTCTTACTAAAAGAAAACAGTCAACTTCTGTGACCCTTTTTATATGCTGGTTCCTGTGCTAAGTGCTAGAAGCAAAACCTCCCTGGAACAGAACAAACCAAGGTAGAGAGAAGGAGAAGTCACGCGTTAAAAGCTTTAGTCCTCAGAGAGAAGGCTAAGGGCCTGGTTCAGGTCCTTCCGCAGCATCCCACATAACTACGAGCAATACCACTGCACCCTCGAGTCAAGATAGCTCTGACCWAAGGGAGGGTGCAGCTGGCCCTGGGAAGCTGAGAAAAGCAGGGGTCCCAGGGTTGTGTGCCTGTTGGGGTGGGGGAGACACACTGCCTGGGGCTTGGAATGCCAGACGAGCACTTTGAACATCACCCCACAGGAAGGAATGGCAGCTGCCAAACTGTCAAAGAGGTCAGGGACACCAGCAGATCCAACCTTTAGGTAGAGCCAAGTGGGAGGGCAAGGCAGGCGACTATGAAGAAAGCATGTAAGCCCAGGCCTGGGAGAGACAGGTGGTCACAACTCACAAACTCTGCCACTTGTGCTGCAATGACATCCCAACAGGTATGCTTAGAAAGTTCTGGATGTTCACCATAACATAAAGTGAAGCTTTCTGAATGGCTACAGTCAAGCAGCAAGCTAATATTAATAGTGCTTGAGCTAAGAACTACAGAAAACTCCTGAGGTGGTGTTTTTATAACTTGACTGTGACCTATACAACCCAATGTGAGCTGACGTTAACTGCCTGGAAGAATTGCATCACAATTTTTAAGGAGCACTCAAAGCAGATAAGCCTTCTCACTTTACTACTTTTTTAAATGTTTGYACGGCGAGCAGAGCCCTGAGTGTGGCTTAAGGAGCAGCTGTGATGCAGCTGCTGGGCTAGGCACGGGAGACTCAGAGCAGAGCCCATGGCCAGGGCTAGGGGTCTCCAGACCCCAACCTCAGCCAGGTGGAGCAGCCAGTCCACATTCTTGCAAAGCTGAAGCTGTGGTTAGAGGGATGGCGGTGTGTCCACAACATGGAACACTACTTGGCATGGGAAATGACAGGATTAGTGATGTGACATGTGCCAACAGCACATTGCATTTCAAAACCTTGAAGCTGGGTAAAGGAAGCCGGGGGAAAAGAGTGTGTGGTGTGTGACTCTTATTACAAGAAATCCTAGAATGTGCATGTGGGTCTACAGTGACAGAAAGCAGATCCAGAGCTCAGTGTGTGCAGGGGGGAGGAGTCAGCACACAGGTGGAGACCTTGGGGGAAGATGGCACACTCATTATCTTGACAGGTGGTTTCAGAGGCATTTACAGACGTCGAAACTGATCAAACTGTGCACTTTGAACGCATGCTGCGTGCTCCACTTCAATCACACCGATAAGGTTACTTTAAAAAAAAAAAAAAAAAGCCCAAAGAGGGGACACACACAGGCTAGCCATGTGAAGAGACAGAACCTGTCACTGCCCAGCTCTTCTGAGGAGGTAAAACTAAGGTGACCTCAGGAGCACCAGCGGGTGCAGCTGGCCGGGCTGAGATCAGTGCTGTGGGGAGAGAGGTTAGCAGCCATGTGGGAACCAAGGAGCCTCAGGTGCACAAGGCCAGGGCTGGGGCCTCGGGCATGCAGGAGCATCTCAAGAACCTGGCTGAGGCGGGAAGAAAGCTGGCAAAACAGGCCCGATCAGCGGTAGGAAGAGGRACACAGCAGCAAAGAGCAGCAGCAGAGAGGCCGAGGGAGGAGCATGTGCACCACTGTGCCCGACATAGAAAGCAGCTTCTGGTGGACAAGGAAGGAGTCCAGGAAGGGATAGAAAGGAACAGAATGGGGAACGTGGAGGCAAAGTGGCGAGGGTGGAGGGAGCTGGAGATGGGTAGGGGAGATGGAGGCTGGTGACCTCCCTGCCAGGAGCAAGGGTCAGGTGGCAAAGGGCTCAAAAGCTGCTCTGCAGCGGAGAGGTGAGAGGCGAGAGGCGAGAGGCGAGGGAGACAGAACCACGAGTTGCAGAGCTGCGCTCTCCAAAGCCCACAGGAGCAGGCAGGGAGGCCAGCATGCCACCGCTCCTTCCCCTGTGGGACGCAGCCCTGGCCTGCGATTGACCACCAAACTTGATGCCTGGAAAGGCAGGCAGAACCGTAACAGCTCCTGACTTCTCCTGCCAAGGAGCAAACCACCAGGGCCGCCCAGGTGACAGCTCCATGCCCTGGCCTATGACCCTTCCAGAAACCACAGGAACCACCCCAGCTCCCAGACACCAGCCTCCTGCATGCCCAGGCCTCTGTGCTTAAGGAGAAAGCAGCTGGCGACGGCCTGCACTGGCGGAGCACCTCTGGGTGGGTCTGACTAAAGCCTGCACTGCACCCACACAGCCTTAAAGGCAGGCCTACGAGTTCAGGGAGGTGACAGGATCTTCCCAAGGGGACAACAGCAACTCTGGAGAACAAAGTCACAGCTCAACTGCAGGCCTTGGCCAAAGCCTGCCTCTGCTGCCTTACACCACGGGGAGCAGGCGGGCACCCTCACCTTGGACCAATCATAGCTGGAAGCGTAAGCAAATATGTTCCCGTTGTGGTTGAAGCAGCAGGCGGATATCGGCTGATCTAACTGCTCGGAAGTCTTCAGCTTTGTTCTGGCGTCTTTGTCCCAGAAGCTGAACCTCCCATCGGATCCCACGGTTGCCAGGGTGCCATGAACAGGGTGGAATGCGATTCCATTTACCTGCAGAGGACGACACACAGTGAGAGCAGAGGCAGGCGCAGTGGAGAAGCAGGTCCGTGCCAGCACCTGCTTCCTGCAGGAATCAGAAGGCAGAAGGCAAAGTCGTCCCTCACTCCCAAGTCTCCTGGACCAACTGCCAGCACAGAGCTAAACCCTGCCCCCCCTYGAGGGCACAGAACTGACGTGTGCATCCGCTAGGAGCACCACAGGGCGCATCTCAGGAAAGCGCCTTTCTTCTTTATCAGTGAAGAGCAATTTGTTATTGGCTGTGTGTGAAAACTGTTGACCAGCACCCTCTCATGAAGAAGGTATGAGACACTTCCCCAAATGTCTCAAGCCTGCATTTCAAAACAGACTAAGAACAAATCAGACTATACGTTCATAAAAACAGAAAACTGAAACCAATGCAGAAGCCATTTACCCCCAGAGAACACATAAGAGGCTCCTCAGTGCTCTTGGGATGTGTCCTTTCTGACCCTGTAATCACTGGTGAGCCCACTCCAGGTCTGGATTCTACATGTCAAAGTTAAGTTTCTAGAGACATACCGCATAGATGTCCTGTGGAGCTGAAGTATTGGTTCCGTTGGATCGATGACATTTAAAGGTGAAGTTATCTTTGGCACTGAAAAACAAAGGCACATATAAGTCTTCCCTTTAAAAAATAAATCTTGAGTGAAATTTCCAGTTGACTGAATTCCACTTACGGATTTGGGGGGTTGATGTAGTGAATAGCAACTCTCCCCTCGATGCTCCCCAGGGCAAAGCCAGTCGGCTTGTTCTGTTTGTCTTTAAAAATAGCCACACAACGATGCTAAAGTTTGGGGGGGGGAAAAAAAGTACATTACCACTATGTAAATGTAAGACGGTCACCAGAAACCYCACTCTGCCATGATGAAGGCATTCCTGCACCGTTAGCACTGCTTTCTAACTTCTAAACTGCCACGAGATTCTGTGACCCAACTGTACAACTAACTGCAACTGTCCCTTCTCCCTCTGCCACCCTGGGAAGCCATATTCTCCCCAGTGGAGCACACTGGGGATACTGGCCGATGCAGGCACTGGCCCTGCTGGGCTGGCAGGTGCTCCCTTGGATCAGCAGCCATCACCAGCTAGGCTAGTGCCCCACAGCCGTGTATGTACTGCTATGACCTGTGTTTGTGTGGCTCCTCTTCTCCAGCTGGGCAGCAGTGCTGGCCAGGCCCACCTTAGGGGGCAACAGGGTGGAGACAGCAGACAGGACAGCATTTGATATATAAACTGAACATGCTACACAGTGACACAGCATTCTATTCTTTATCTCAATGAACTTGACCATTTTAGGCTATTATTAAAAAAATGAGAAATGCTGGTCAGGGTGTGAGGTAAAGGCACCTCATGCACTGCTGCAGGGAACATAAACTACCACAGCCACTATGGAAGGCAGACAGAGGCTGCTTAAAAACAAAGACTGTAACTATCACGTGCTCCAGCTATACCACTGCTGTGATCTATCCAAGAGAAATGATGTCCACATGCAGAACCATCCCTGAGCTGCCACATTTCCTGCAGCACTACTACTAGTGGCCGAGACAAGAATCGGCCGCAGTGCCTATCACCCAAGGAATGAAGAAAACATAGCATGTGAAAAGTAGTCAACCATGAAGAACGAAATCACGTCATCTGCAGGCAGATGGAAGGACTCGAGGACAGCATGGTAAATGAAATGAGCCAGACGTAGGAAGACAAGCATCATATCCTTTAAAAAGGCAGGTGGGCATGATCAAAGCATAGCATGTGCATGTATGGAAACATCACAGTGAAGCGCATTAATGTGAACAATTAATATGTTAATAATTATGGTTTTTTATCAAGCAGTTCCCACAGAAGCTGCCAGGAGAGATGTAGTTCCCAGAGGCTGAGGGGAGGGGGAACCCTGATGTGTACGCACTGCTACGAGCGTTAGAAGGCAGAAGCTGGGGTGTGCTACTGCGCAGCAGGTAACCACAGAGGCCACTATGCTGCGTCTCAGGAAGCCAGGGAGATGCTGGAGGATCTTACGTAAAGGAACAATGTGTGAAGACAGCACATCCTCCAGGCTCATCATGCTGTCACCACGGCAGATTGCCCTCCTTCTCCGGTGGCTGAAGAGTACTCACAGCATGCACACCGCGTTTCCTGCAGCCACTCACTTGGCTGGTGACTACGGCAGTGAACATTACAGCTTGAATCCTGGCCCCATGGTTGTAGGTGAGCACTCAGGGGCCAGACCACCAGGTTCTGCAGTGCTGACTCCACCGTGGTTTCTCCACCCTGCAGCCTTGCAGGAGTGCACAGGGCTTCACGTCTCCAGGTCCTTGCTGACTCGTCTTTTCACATTTTGGTAACTGTGGTCCCAAAGGTGTGAGGGGATGCCTCACAGTGCTCTTACTTGCATTTCCCAGTGAGAAGCCATAGTGGTCACCTTTCCCATACTCGCTGACCACATGCATGTCTTTTCTGGAACAATGTCCACTTAAGACTCAGTCCAAACWGGGGCAATTTTTTTTTTTTCTTCGAGTTGCAGGAGTTCCTCACACACTCTGGAATGTTACCCTGGACAGATACGTAACCGGCAGACGTCTTCTCCCACTGGTAGGTGCCTTCTTAYCCGATTGCTTCTTTTGCTGCACAGAACCTTTCTGATTTGTAGATGTTCATTTTTTTTTTTTTGCTTTTGTTCCCTATATTTTTGGTGTAACACACCCAAGAAATTACTGCCAAGCCAATGTCATAAAGTTTTGATCTAAGTGCTAAGAAGACTTGGATCAAATATGGTGGTAGAAGGGAGAGAAAAGAACAGATTCTAAATAGTTCCCAGGTGGAAGTAAGGGAGCCTGGTGATAAATGAGATAGGAGAGGAGAAAAGAAGGAGGGTGAATCAAGAATGACTTCTAGTTCCATCTCAGACAACCAAGCAAATGAAGTCCCACCTAATGAGATGTGGAACAAGTGCATCAGGAAGAACAGGAAGGAGTGGTGGAAGGGGCAGGTCCAGACCTGCCGGTGTTTACATGTATACACACGCACCATGGCACTGAGGGCCACAGCTAAGGAGAATCCCAAGGAGAGGAAAATATTTGAAAGGCGATGCAGAAAGGGGTCCTGGGTTTGGAGAGGGTGCTGCTGGATGGGGACCTCTGGGAGAAACAAGGGAGCTACTAGAGTGTGGGTGTCGTTGTCGGGAGCATAGTAGCAGGGTCTGCTGGGGACCCACATCTCTAGCCTGCAAGCATGACTGCGGACAGTGACGAATGGGAGATGAGTCTGGCTTGGAAGGTGGTCGCACAGGCAGAAGAGGGGGGATCTCAACATTCAGCAAAGAGCCAACAAGGAAGAGGCTGGCAGCACGGAGCCAAGGCCCAGTGGCTCATGAGCAGACCTGAGCAGGGGTCACACCACAGTTTCAGTTAAGTCATCAGTTAAGTTTGGAAGGGGACAAACACAGGCCATGCTAGACACCTGACCACGAAAGGAAACAAGTGTGCAGGTGAGCTGTAGGAGGACAGGGGTCAGGGAGATCTGTGCGGAGGGAYGCATAGGCTTGGGCACCCTTTGGTGAAGAACTAAGAGCCAGAAGCTACAGGACAGTGAAAATAGATCATCTTTCCTGCTAAGCTGCAGGGCAAGGGGTGCTACCATAGAACTGGCCTAAGAACCCCACCTGACAGGGGAGGCAGGGAAGGATGCAGGTTCACAGACTCGCAAATCTAGCAGGAGGAAGACAAGGACCCTCCTTTATTCTCTGAACAGGAGAATTCAATCACTGAGACAAAGGCTAAAGGGAGCCTAAGGAGAACGAAGCAGGCCCAGCAGTCCTGTGGCCAGTGGGAAGATGAAGCCGCTGCATACAGTGTGGCTGCCCCTACTTTGGAAAGGCTGGCAGTTACTTCTAGGGATTTAAGGAGACACAGTCTTTGGTGAGTACAAAAGCTGGAGGGGGCCTTACAACCACGCGCACACGATGAAGGCAGAGCTGAGGCTGGAAGTGATGAACTGCCCGGGAGCCAACTCAGCAAGTGTGTGGTTTATTCAGCAGCATTTGGCCACCCACAGAAGACAGGTGAGGTGGGCTCACCCACGGATGGGTGGCTTTTACTCACCAAACATCTGTTTGTTTCCTTAAACTTACTCCCTAGGTAACTTCCAGGCTTTTAAAGCAGATACAGTTGTCCTCTATGCAGCACCATCCTGCACACAGCAGTGCTCAACACATGCTTCCTCACGGGCTTCCGCTTACCTGGTGCTTCAGTGGAGATTCTATCCTCCTGAATTCAGAGGGCTGGTTCTCTAACTGATACACGATCAGGCCCCTCTCTGCAGTCGCCACCACGGCCATTGGGTAGATCTAGGGAATGGAGGGAAACAGACACTGAACAGGAAGGAGCGGGCTTTTCTACTCACGAAAACCTCAACTTCTTAAAAGTTTAACTATTCAATGGCATCAATGTTTCACRAAAACCTAGAGAAACTATCTGTAGGCAGAACATTCATATATATTTAAGCCTTGTTTTTTAAAACCRTAAAATATGTGAACATTTAGAAAATATTCTGAGGAACTGAGAAGAAATGATAATCACCTATACCAGGCCTTCAAAAGCTCACAGCTAACACCACGGCACACTCAAGTCTTCTGAGCCTTGTGTGTCTACACTGTGCTGTGAAACCCGTGTCCTCCACTCAAGCTGTGCTTTATGAGCATCGGTGAGGAACTCACATTTATCCGAGAACATCACAGTGGCTGCCTCGTGTTCCCTCAAACATGCCACAGCTCAGGGGGCGTGGTTAACTATGCCCACCATGTAGGTCCACCGGTCACTTTTAATGTTTCACTACATTATGTCAAGGGAAGACCATTTGTACCCATCATTTTTCTCATGATAAATTCCTAAAAAGTGGAATTTCTGGGACACTTGGTATAAAACTTTGGCTCTTGACTAACAGATGGAAAAAGCACCTCGGTTTCCATCTCAGAGACAGGACTGTGAAAACTGGAATCACATCACAAAATAACCACAAGTTTTGCTACCATTTCACAACAAATTCACAGTAGGATGGCACATACCTAGCTGCATATGTTTAAAAAGTGACCATCAGTATTTAGGAGTTCTGAACAAATGCAACCCCTAAACCAATTTAGGTGACTGGGGTAATTTGAACTATACCCCTTCCCCATATCTATTAATAAAGGAGAATTTTTCAATTACCTACTAATTGCAGGATGCCAGAAGGAAAAAAATGCTTTTTTTTTTTTGGTGGTGGTGAGGTACCAGGGTTTGAACTCAGAGGCACTCGACCACTGAGCCATATCCCCAACCCCATTTTGTATTTTCTTTAGAGACAGGGTCTCAATGAGTTGCTTAGTGCCTCGCCATTCCTGAGGCTGGCTTTGAACTCAAGATCCACCTGTCTCAGCTTCCTGAGCTGCTGAGATTACAGGTGTGAGCCACTGTGCCCAGTGCTATTTTGCTATTTTAAAGAAAATAAAATTCCTTACCACATCGGCACAGTAACACCTCTCAGGGAGCTGCAAGACCATCATGGGAGTTGATGACCGGGTATCCCAAAACTAAAAGCCAAAAGGAGCACTGTGTGAGTGTTCAAGCTGAAATCTACCCAGGGAAGAATTAGGTCTGCCATGCCGGGGCCATACACTCCCTCTAGCATACTGCACCTTCAGWGTCTTATCCCAGCTCCCGGTCATCACGCAGCTATAGTTTGGAGCTTTGATCCAATGTATGGTCTTAACAGGTGCATCATGCTTTCAACAAGACAAAAAACAAGCAGATCAATGTAACCTAACAATGTGYTCGACACTTCTAGAGATTCGAAGAAAAGGAACTAATTATCAAAGGATATTTCAGTGCTTCCCCAGGACCAAAAGTAGTCCATCTGACACAAGAGCATAGACCCACCTTCCATTTTACAAACTTCAATTTGACTTACTGATAACTAAGAGTGACAGCATGGCCCTCCCTGGGGAGATATGCAGAAATGGCTAGTGAGAACCACGCCAGTTTTACACATGTACCAAGGAGAGATGGAGAGGCCCCAGCATGTGGCACTGGGACTTCAGTACACGATGCTGTCCTGAAAACACACGGTTGCCAAGAGGCTCTGTGAATGCCCCTAGGCAGGCCCTGAAGCTGYAGGTTGCCTGCCTTCATGACTACTGCTGCCCCTTCCTGGCATTCTTCATGGGAGAACCTGCCTGCTACAAAAGCTAGACATGCTTCAAAAGCTCTGTGGGCATGCGGAGGTGTCCCGCTTACTTGAGGCAGTATTTCCAGACCCTGAAGACAGTGCCTGGCACAYGGCCACTCAGTAAACACCTGAAGAGCAAGCAAGCCAACGCAGCTGGTGAAAGACAAGTCACACACAGGTGTAGGGAGGCCACATGGCCATGCTGAGGAACACTTCTAGCCCTTGTCTTTATAGGTTTTAATGCCACTAACTCCTGATGGCACCACCCACACATACAGGGAAGACACATGCAAAAGGCTCTAGGAAAATACTACRAACAACAACAAAAAAAGGCCAAAAAACATTATTTTTGTGCTAAGAACTTTCTAGTACACTTAAATCTGATTGACTTTGTACACTCTCATTGTTCTTTTCTATAGCAGGGAATTACTACAATCATCACAACCCTGGGCAGCAGTCCTATCCTGCTGATTTGCAAAGGGCTTRTGTTACCTGTGCAATCTGTATTGCCTGGTTACTATTGAGGTCCCACATTTTGGCAGTTTTATCACATGATGCTGTAAATACTTTGCTCCCATCCTAAAATAAAATGGAGAAAAATTAAATCTATGTAAATTCAGATACTAGGTTGAACATTTGTTTTCCAATTTTTATTTTTCCAATTATTTGGGGGCCACCATACTGCAAGCCATAGTGTCATAAACAAAACACACTTTCAGCTCTAGCTTTATATTTTATTGACCTAAGAAATAATATATTAATAGAATATTTTAAAAATCCACCAAATAACACTTAAAAGTTATATAATGAAAACTAAATCTCATCCCTTAAAGGCAACTTTGGTCTACTTTTAAAATCTTTTTCTATTTGAGAAATTTAAGCCTTCAGAAAAATTACAATAATAATACAAAGTGTTCCAGCATAGGGGTGCACGCCTGGAACCCCAGCAACTTACAAAGCTGAGGTAGGAGGACCACAAGTTTGAGGCCAGCCTGGCAACTTAGTGAGACCCTGTCTCAAAATTAAAAACAAAAACAAAAACAAGGGGAAGGGATACAGCTCAGTGGTCCCCAATGCCAGAAAAATAAATAAATGTAAACATTTCACCGAGATTCACCAACTGTAAACATATGCCACACTTACTCCGCCTGCCCCCACCCAGCGCATGTACTCACACTCTCTCTCACACACACACACACACACACACACACAGTTAGCTTGTTCAGCTCTATGTCTAATGGCACTCCAAAGTATGTGTGATAAAACTACACTAATTTATAAGAATCGCTGGTATAAAGTGCAAACTAGCTCAAAACATCAGCAGTCACTGACTAATGATAAACTCAGAAACAGAAGCCACGGAGCAGGCCTACCCTAGCACTGCTTAAAAGAGCTACGTGCATCTGTGGTGAATGCTTGAGGCTGGGCTCAATTAAAGTGCACTCACAGGAGCAGGCAAGGGCTGATCGGGCTCACGGCCAAAGTCTGCTAACCCCTGGCCTAGGATATTTCACTTCTGGTGTCAAAGCTCACAGACTTTCCACTCTTCCTTGGCAAAAATTTCTCCCCTTTGAAGCCACCACTTCTCCATCTGAAAAAGAGGGGAAGCCTGTCCCTCATTCCATGAATGAATTTACAGTGGTGACACCATAAACCTTAGATGCAGAGCAATCTGATGACTAGACAGGAACACCTCACACACAGATCCCAGCTCAGCAATGAAGAGGAGGAAGTGATGCCCCCACCTGGATGACCTCCGAAGTAGCAGACTGAGGAAGAGGCTAGACTTACAGTTTCCAGTCTGTACAATCCCATGTATATGACATTCTTAGAAAGCAAAACATTTGGGGACAGAAAATAGATCAGTGGTTTCCAGGAGCTGAGAGCTGGGAAGGATCTGACTACAGAAGGGCAGGAGGGTATCTGGGGCTGAGGGAATGTTCCACAACTGAACATGGTCTTTGTTCCTCAAAACAAAGCTAGACCTCAAAGGTTCAGTTTTACTATATACCTAATAAATAAATGTCTGAAAATAACCTAATAAATCTGGTCAGAAAAGACAGGAACAAAGCTTGGAAAGGGCCTGGAGGCCTGGCTTCCTTAGCGTCATGTACACCTGCCTCTTGCTTCTGCTGGGTTCAGGAACCAGGCAGCAGGGGCAGGAGAACAGGCAAGAGCCAACCTGCTGCCAAGGTGGCCAGCCCTCCACAGCAGCAGCTCCTCCAGAGCTCAGCTGTCCCTCCCAGGGAGCAGCACAGGTGCCTTGCCTCCCATCTGTTGCCTTGCCAATGGTCCCTTCATCACTACGCTCTCCTCAAATATGAAAAGAGGGAAAAAGAAATAAGAAAAAAGAAAAGCTCAGAATAAATGTGTGCAAGTGCTTATATTCAGGATCTTAGGAGGAGAAAGAAGTTGAAAACTGATACAATTCAAATATCTAATAACAGAAAGTATTCTTTTTTCCCCTCTAGGTATTTCTGGAATAATAAAATCTCTGATTTTAAAACATACACTTAGGGCTGGGGTTATGGCTCAGGGGTATAGCGCTCGCCTGGCACGTGTGAGGCACTGGGCTCGATCCTCAGCACCACATAAAGATAAAGGTATTTTGTCCGCTTACAACTAAAAAAATATATTTAAAAAAAAAAAACCCATAAGCTTATGGTGTATTTAGATACAGGAAAGGTTTCAAGAAATGATATAATTTCTTGCTCCAGGTAACATATCAACAAAACAGYCAGGYGCGGTGGCACACACTGTAATCCCAGTGGCTCTAAAGGCTGAGGCAGGAGGATCATGAGTTCAAAGCCAGCCTCAGAAATGGTGAGGCCCTAAACAACTCAGTGAGACCCTGTCTTTAAATAAAATGCAAAACAGGGCTGGGGATGTGGTTCATGATTAAGTGCCCCTGAGTTCAATCCCTTATACCCCCTCCCAAACAAAACATATCAACAAAACAAATGGCTTTAATGCAAGCAAAGCTTCCAGAGAGAGTATCTAACTGAAGCTAACATTAAGAGTGACAATGAATTACTATTCACTGTTCAGTGCCATCAAGCATATCAGACGCGGGACACCTGACTTGTGTTTGTGTTATAAACTTTTGTGTGTCACACAGCACGCTATGTAGAAGAGAATGTGGGAGATGGATTGGAACATACATCACTCCAGCAGACGTCCAACACGGGTCCAGTGTGCATCTGCTGGGCTTTTGGAATGGTCTGCCCACTGTCCTGAACTTCCCAGCAGCGAACCTGTAAGAACAAGACCAATTAAAGCAAGCGAGGMAACTCGTGAAGCACTAGAAGCACTGTTATCCAGGAATGATGTGGTACGATTTTTTAAATAATTAATTTGTTCTAATTTGTAAAGAGATAGGTTAATAGTTCATAGTGTCTTTTTTTTGGGGGGGGGGGGTGCTGGGAATTGAACCCAGGGCCTTGTGCATGCAAGGCAAGCATTCAACCTACTGAGCTATATCTGTAGCCCCCTATAATTTATACAAACTCCTCTATTAGTCTAATCATGTAATTTTTAAGAACAAAGCCATCAAAATGCATATAGAAGGAGCTATTTTCCTACTTCTAAGCTATTAAAATATAYAAATCCTATTGCTTACATCTAAAACTGCAAGTAATTTCCTCAACACATATATGCGATATCTTTTAAAGCAGAAGTAGAGGCCCACTCTTGTAATCCCAGCTACTTGGGAGGGTGAGGCAGAAGAAAAGAAAGCTCAAGGTCAACCCTAGGCAACTTAGTGAGACCCTGTCTCAAAATAAAAAGGGGTGGGATATAGCTGAGTGGTACAGAGGCTGTGGTCCAATACCCAGTTTTGCAAAACTAAATACATAATGTATAAATAAGAATAGACTATCAATCATAACTATTTAGAAAATCAAAACTTAAGTGGAAATTTACCTTTCTACTCTGAATGCTTTAACTTTTACCTCACTTTTCTGTTTACAAAAGTAATGCAATTTACTTGGAGATGTCATAAATATGACTCCTAGTTCACAATTGGGATGTAGCTCAGGGATAGAGTGCTTGCCTAGCATGTATGAGGTCTTGGGTTCAATCTCTAAGCACCACAAAAAAACAACCAATCAAAAAGCACACCACTCTTTACAAAAACTACATATAAACTTGCCCAACCTTGACCTCCCTCTTCCCTAGTCCTTCCCTCAACCCCACCTGTAAGCCAGTTTGCTCTTCCAGAAACCTTGAAAGTGGTATTCCATCCGTTGAGCACATAATTGTCACCACTGCTGAAGGCAAAACCTTTCACATCTTCACTGGCACAAAGTCAGTCTTTAATGAGGTACTGTCAGGCAGCAGTGACACAGCCCCGATCTCCCTGTGCACCCTGGCTGACCACTTGTGGAAAACGGGCCAGCTGTTCTGCTTCCTAAGCCTCAGCATCCTGACTCATAACATGGACACAATAAGCACACAGTGCTTCTCTATGTAAGGACTAATTCCTTATCAGATTTCCTTCTCAAGTCCTAGGACAATCAATGGGACTTAAGGATCTCTGAGAAATACTGCCAATTACTACCCAGAATGTTCCAATTTGCATACTACTAGCAGTACAAGAAAGGCTGAAGCTTACCCTTGCCAGTACTATTAGTCTTTAAAATGTTTTGTTGGGTAGAAAAAAATAATTTATCATGTAAATTTTTCTCTTAGTGATATAAAGGTGGCTAAATGGTTTCAGTTTACTCCTTTTGTGAAGACCCTCTTCACATCCTGTGCTTACTATTCTACTAACTTTTATCATTCTTTTTTGGACATTATGATTAATCTTTCTTTCTGAACACAATGGATAATTATAATGTCTATGCAGGATTGGTGCTATCATCTAAAATTGAACACAGGCCTGAAGCACTTTCAGGACACAAAGAAAGAAATTGTGTGCATCAAYGTGGGTAACATTCTTCTCAGTGAATGGTACTCTTGGTTTGGGAATATGCTTTAACATACTGGACTAGAGTAGGAAATTTTGAGCAATGCATAATGATATCTCCATTCAGAAGGGTTCACAGTTTCTATGCCAGTTTCTTGAAAAAGACCATGTATATAAGTCTTAGTTCTGATCCACTCACTTGGTACAGATTGGAGTTAAGGAAAAGCCAATTTTATCCATACCAAGATAGGATTAGAGAAGATGCATTTAAGAAGCACTCACATCATTAGCCCACGATCCTGCAATAAGAAAGTTCCCCGGTAAGGTTGGTGGGCTAAAAGACAGACAGCCGATGCTATCATCAGGAGAAGATGTTACTTCAATATCCTGGGGAGGGAAAGTCAATATTAAAATGTACACATCATCACAATGTCAAAACTGCTTTCCTTCTCACTGAACTTGCCATGGTGGAATTTCCTTGTCTCAAGAACTCAGACCTTCCCTTACTTTGATCAAATAAGCCAAGGAAAGTACTAAGCCCTCTGGGACTATAAACAGCACACTAAATGAAAGACCCCAAACCTTTTCTACATGGTGGCCCCCAGTTCACTCTTGCTCCAAGTGATCCTTCACATCTATTACCCACCTCCCACCCCACAGAAATGCTGATCCAACAGTCCTCAGCTTGGCCCTGAGAATCTGCACTTCTCACAGGCACCTGGGTGATTATAGAGACCTGACAAGTCAAGAGGGAACCGGACACTAGGCCAGGATTCAGGTATTTCTGGGCTCCAAGGTTCAGGAAAACTGGGCTAGACAAAATTCCAGAGCTTTCATTCCAAAGGAGGATCCCCAGCCATTTGTTTCTCCTGAGGTCACAGATGTAGGAAACCCTGTGAGGCCTCATGCAGTACCTTCATAGGGTTGTGATTGTCTGTGGTTGTGCTGCCAAACATGCTGGTCCCGCCAGTTCCAAAACCTGAGGTTGTTCCGAACAGACTCATTTTGTGTCTAAACAATAAAATGCAACATGTTAAGGAGAGGTCCTTTCTTAAGTAATAAAATCCACTAAGAGGCAATATATAAAGATCTTAAGTCACAGAAAGAAAATAGTGGATTCATGCCAGGCTCCTCTCTTCAGAAGAGATCTAAAAATGCCTAAGTGGACTAAGCTTTATGAGGGGCACAGGGGCACACACCTATAATCCCAATGGCTCGGGATGCTGAGGCAGAAAGACTGCAAGTTTAAAGGCAGCCTCAGCAAAAGGCAAGGTCCTATACAACTGAGTGAAACCCTGTCCCTAAATAAAATATGTGGCTCAGTGCCTCTTAGTTCAATCCCCAGTACCCCCCCCCCAAAAAAAACCTTCTATTTTAGAACAGTTTAAGATTTAGAGAAAACCAAAAAGACAGGAAAATTTCCATATGCCTCACATCCAGTTTCCCCTTTGGTATCTGATAGAGTATGACACATTTGTCACCACTAATGAACCAATACTGACATGGTACACCAGGGCAGTTTTCAGTTACCAGCTAGGAAATAAATCTGCTCATTTAAATAGTCAGAGACACTAAGCTCCACACCAGAGATACACAACAGAAAGGACAGAAGATCCCCACATTTCAGTTCCCCATCTGGGGGGAGTTCACTTTCTTCCCAGTGCTGTGCTCTGGTCAGGTCAACATCTGCATGAAGTCACCTAGAAAAACAACCAGTCCTAGAAGGGACTCAATAACTATATTTAGTGGTTTTTAAAAAGTAATCCACTTTGGTCCATTTGAATTCCAAAAGGTTTGGCATTAGGTCACAGACATATACCTAGAAGAATCTCCACTGAGTTTTTTCCAGGGCATAACTAGCAGGCCCACCAGAGTCTGAATAGAACCTCTGCCACTCAGATTAAGCTGGAACCTTAATCTCACCAGGCCTCATTTTTCTCACTGCAAACAGAGAAAAAAATATTGTATATTCTCCAGGTCTGCAAGAAGGATCAAATCAGAATTTGCAGAAAGTGTAGTGCCTAGCACATACTAAGTACAATAAGCAGTTTTTCCTTCTTTTTCTTCCTTTCTAAGGAGAAAGTCTATGCATAATTTCCTAAAGATTTCACATACTTTGATACTATGTTTTCAATTGGTTAGCAAATCTTTACATTTAGAAGTCTACCACATCAGTCATCTCTCCAAAAGAAGCCTAACGGCTAAGTGACATACTGATTAATGAGGGCAATATCCTTAAACAGGACAACAGAATGGAGAAACTGCAAGGAACTTGGGGAAGGCATCTGAGTTCCCTGGCTTAATGAAAAAATAAAGTGAAAACATAATAGGTTAGAGCAACAGCTATGGGCATATCGACATTTCAGAAGGCAACCTTGTGAAAGGACATGGTGTTTGCCAACTGCATCTCTGCTCCAAGATGTAGAGATGCACTTGAAGCATCAGTTAGCTACAGGATCAAACAAGCGAAGGAATCACAGGGCTTCTGTAACCAGGGTCTGGGAACAGTTTTGTGGCTTTGGGAAAGTTCTTTAGTTCTGACTTTTTCAACTGTACATAAAGACACTAATATCTATTTCACAGAGTAATAAGTTAAGGTCAAGCACATCATACTTGAAACACAACAGGCTGTTAACAAATGTTGTTTCTGACCCCACCCCACCCCCCAACAGTCAGGTTGCCATCAGGGATGGACTTTCAGGACTCTAGGTAATAGTCACTCAACCACTTATCACCTAGTATGAGCCACATGCTGTGCTGGGCAATGGGAACCCGAGAAGTTGAGAGGGCAKGTACCCAACGTGTCAATCTCTTCCCTGCTGAACCCCAGCCACAGATCTGCTGGCTGCTTCTGCCCTGAACACAGGGTGCATCCTACCAGTGGTCCTTCAGACCCCAAAGAATGGCTCACCCTCCCCCCAGCCCCCAGTTGCCTCCCTTTGAATCTTCACGTTCTAGTCCAAAAGCTGCTTCCTCAGACTGTTTTGAGGTGATGGAAATGTTCCCAATTTCGTCAAAATGTACCCTTTAGCTGGGAAATTCACGTCCTGTAAGTTGGACTTCCATGAAGCTGTCAGCCCTGTTCTTTTTAAAAATCATCCCCTCGGCGGCTTCCCTAATTTAACATTTCCAACTTTCTGCCACACCCCCTTGTTTTAGTGGCGGCGCCCGGAACCGATTTGCGTTTTCTGGTTTTTGGTCCGTCCCGAGCTCCAGGAGCGCACGCAGCTGCCTGGGTCCTTCCCCKGGCGCAGCGGTCCGGCAGCACGGAGCCTGGACCGGGGAGTGCAAACGCACACGCTGGGGGAAACGCGCGGCAGGGAAGACCAAGGAACAGACCTGCTCCCGACAGCGGCAAGGGCGACGAAGCAACCTGCGAGGGAGGCCTTTGTGCAGAGGACCGGTCAGGAGAGCTTCTGCTAAGAGGCGACGTGTGCCTGATGGAAGGAAAAGGCGACAACGCTGCCATTAACCCCGGGAGACCCTCCCCGGGGCCTCAGTTTCCCTACAAGGGCAACGACGAGACCAGGCCCTAGGCGACCCCCGAGGCCCCCTCCGGCCCGGCCGAGCTTCGCAGAGCCTCTGCCCAAGCTCGGCCAACAGGCGGCTCGCGCCGCGGCCTTGCAGCCAGGCGCACCCCTCAGGGGACTCCGGCCTCCGCGGGCTGCGAGGCGCTGCAACGGACGGCTCGGGGCCTACCTGAGAGTCGCCGCGGCGAGCAGCCGGGGGCGGGCCGCGGGTGGACCCGAGGAGCCTGCAGACCTGCTCTGGCGCGGAGGAGCACTGGCAAGGTAGCCCGGGCAGAAACACCGGGAGCCCGAGTCTCCTCCAGTTGGTGGTAGAAACAGCCCCAATTACCGCGGAAAGACAGCGCATGCGTTCCGGAGACACTTCCGGTTTCTCCCGGAAAGCGCTGAGGAAATCGGCTCCTCCTTCCGGGGCGGTGGCTCAAGCGCAAAAGCGTCGTTGACGTCGAGAGGAAGTACTTACATTAGCAGTTTGCGAATTGGCGGTAAATTGGCGGAGCGGGGCATGTTGCCGAGCAACCGATTTTGTAAATTGGCCGACCAGGCTAGTGGAAGGTAGTTAACTCTCGGCTTGTGAATTAATTCTCGTATTTGTCGTGATTAAAAGTCTAAAAAAAAGCAAAGGTCTGATTACTGCCAGTTAATGTCCAGGACCTGGCTGGGGGAGACCCCCTGCGCGATCCTCTCCGCCCTCGGGGGATAACCGGGCCTGGAGTCCAGGTTCTTGATTAGGTTGCCGGTGCGATGTCACGCGAAGGCTCCTGCCACCGGTAACGCTCGGTGGAAACGTCAAGGCGTCGGGAGACAAGGTGACTGCGGGGTTAGGTGAGGGTCCTGCCGTCGGCGTGGGGTGAGCCTCGCGGACGCAGAGCGGTAAGCGGCCCACTGCTTGAGGCCAGGCTGCTGGTGTGGCGGGCGTCCAGGCGGAGGGAGCCTCGTTGTCATGCCGACCGAAGCTGGCGGTCTAGCACGCGTGGCCGTGACCTCAGTTTGCTTGATTTCTGAAAGGTCACATGACAAGTTTCAGCTTGGTGACTCCGTTTTTGACTCCGTCCGTCTGCTCTGCCGGCCCAGTGCAGGAGTTCAGTTCCAAAGAGGGGCCACCTTGAGCTGAATTAAGAAGGAGCTGTGGGTCCTTTGGACCCGTGTCCACTGTGCCCACTCAGAGAAGCACGGGACCTTCGGCCCAGTTCACTACTCGGCCTGGTCTGCATGCCGTGACCGCCTCAAGCATCCCCGGGATCCGTGGGATCTTGGTGTACGCGCAGATTCCGTCGGAGAGCCCACATTTGTGCCAGAAACTGAGATTAGACTGCAGTTTTCCCAGCCACAGGGCTACTTACAGATGACAAAATGYTGGCGGCTCACTTTTCCCCTAGAAGGGAAGATCTATAAAATTTGTATCCATGGACTATATAGGCGAAAATAATTTTAAAGCAAAATAATTAAAATTAAATTTTTATTRTGGTCATCATTCACATTGGCAAACTTTTCTGCCGTTTTTACACAGGTGGATATTTATGAATGATAGTTTATACTCTGTTTTTAGATGAATAGAAACTGAGTATGTTTGTAATTTTAGAATAAATTATTTATATTTTAAATTATATAATTTTGAAATTTTAATTAAAAAGTTCTAATATTTTGGCCTAAGATTTCTAAWCACCTTGTTTGCAAAGTGTACACACTGAGTGTTATCTGTACCAGGAATTGGGACATTCAAAGCGGTTTCCTGTCAAGAAGTACTCAACATGTAATTCCTTGGTGATTTTCCCCAATCTCTATTTTTGTGTTTCAGATTGTTCCACTCTGTTTCTTTTAAAAAAAAAAAAAATGACTTGAAAATATTTTAAAGGAATTTCTACCCAAAATAGTGGAAGGATGAGAGAACAATGAGCTTCTGCCAGCAGAGGGCAACCTTGGCTTGTTTGGGGGGTTTTGTGACCTTAGGACACCAGGGAATGGTGAACCCAAGTCTACCTAGCAAACCAAAGTGAGAGTTGCTCAATATTTTACTACAAAAACATCCCGTTGAAGATGCTTTTAGTGTATATGTACATATGGCTTAGTTTTGAGAGCACCTGTTCTCTTCAATAGCACTGAACAGATACCTACATGGTTTAAATTTCTCAGAAAATGGGTATTATAAACAGCTTCTTTTTTACAAGGATCTTTATGAGCACTTGAGAAAAAAAAAAGACTGACATCTTTTTGTTGTACTAGTTTACTGCTCACTTAAAAAAAAGTGAGTAGATTTCTTATCTGAACTGAAATATATCTGAAAATAATTTTCAAATGTTAATAATATTGTATATTTAATATACAATATATTTAATAATATTGTATATTTGTCACTCCCATTTTTGACAGTGTATCCTAACGCAGGTGTTTTGTGAGTTAAATAGATTTCTAACTTAGTAATTTCCTCCTTTAAATCTGTCAAAATTCAGTGACATTGTTACATGTTAAGGTATTAGGTATGGTATAAATTCAAAGAAAAACTTTGAAATTTATAATAATATGCTTAAAATTTTTAATAGTCTCTCAAGCAAGTCAAATTAACAGCATACCAGAAATACTCTCAAAATGAAATGTCTGATATTCAAGTGTCCAGGGAATATAAATATTTGTTAATGTGATACACATGTCCTCAGGGGGACCTTAGTTTGGCATACAACAATAAGAATCACAGACCTTCACCTAGAGGGTGCATGCCAGGACAAATGTGAAGCACTTTACATGTACCAGAGTAGTGGTACCCAGACTCTCATGTTTAAGTCTAGACTATATCTTTTTTTTTTTTTTTTCAGGGAGCGGTATTGGGGATTGAACTCAGGGCACTCTACCACTGAGCCACATCCCCAGCCCTATTTCGTGTTTTATTTGGAGACAGGTTCTCTGAGATGCTCAGCACCTCGCTTTTGGCTTTGAACTTGCGATCCTCCTGCTTCAGCCTCCCGAGCTGCAGGGATTACAGGCATGTGCCACCACGCCCAGTTTCTATTACTTATTAATTATATGACCCTAGGAAAGTTACTTAAACTCTGTTCCTTTATTTTCTCATCTGTAAATGGGGATGATAATAAAAAGTACCTGCTCCTAGGGGTGTAAGTATGAAATGAGTTATTGTTTGCAAAGCACATAGAAAAATACCTGGCACATACCAAGTGCCAGCAAAGTATTTTTAAATTGTTATCACTTGCTTTACCCTTACTCCAGCCTTTCAGGCAGGCCATCCCGTAGCCCGTGTAGTCACACAGGACCCCTGGCTAAGAAGGGTCCTGTGTTTGGTTTAATTCCCTATGCTATTTTCTTGAGATTCTTAACTTTAGAACAAGGGTTCCCACTTACAATTTGCCTTTGGCCTKCGTATTCTGTACCTGGTGCTGCTCTTGAAGTGGATGGTATTGTTGTCCCCTAGTGTGACTGTAGCTTTGGACAAGTAACATCTTTCGTGCTGTCACCTATAAACCCTGGTGTAATTGCTGAGTAATCACAGGGTTCTTTAGAGAATGAAATGAGATCATGTGTGAGCAGTGACTGGCACATCTAAGACTTCAGAAATGCTATTATTACCATTTATCTTTATAAACCAACCCAACATTTATGTACTGATATAAATACATATTCTTGCTTGAATTCACTAGCAATGTTTGGTGCAGCTAATGATCTACTGAAAGTACAGAATAAAATCATAAAACTCATGTATATCAAAATTAAGGTAAATTTTAAAGGGAAAAGATCACATTATTACTGTTGGAGAAGCACCTATTAAAATTTGAAGCTTCTGTGAATCTTAAAACTGAAGAAGTTCTTTGTTCTATTGATCTAAACTAAAGAATAATGGACTTGAATTGGGGCAATAATGAACAACCCCTGGAGAAAAATTTTCTAGTAATACAGTCGATAAAAAAGTAGGCCCCAAACAAAGTAAAGCAAAGCATGGAGGACTACATCAATTCAAGTATTATTTCGGGGTAAATATTACTAGTTTTACAAGTAAATTAATTCTTGAGGACAAAAGAGTAAATTAATTTACAAGTAAATTAATTCTTGAAGGCAAAAGAGAATGTAAAAAGAAACTACCAGATGCTATAATTTCTTTGCAACATTTCATGTTGACTATTGTTATTTTTGTTACTAATAAAATCCCATATGTCTTACATTAGTTATATTGTAGAAGACAAATATTTCAGACTTTTATTCAAATAAAACATTTTTTCCAAATAAAATTTAAAAGTCAAAATCATATTCTTTTATAATTTAGAAGATAGAATAAAAATCAGTCTACATAAAATCTTTTATTTTTTAAATTTTTATTAGTTATTGATGGACTTTTATTTGTTTATATGTGGTGCTGAGAATTGAACTCAGTGCCTCACACAYGTAGGCAAGCACTCTACCACCAAGCCACAACCACAGCCCTACATAAAATCTTTTAGAGAAAATTAGAATATAGCACTTATTTTGACAAAACATATAATTAATGGAAATTATTTGCCTTACACAACAGTGTTTGCCAGTTAAACTAATGAAGGGCCTCTGGAAAACAGATTCTTCCATCCTCCACGTGTGCTTTTATATCCATCCTCCAAATTTTAACTTGTTGGGTAAGTACACTCTGGAAAGGTAATCTGACGACAGGGAGGTTAAAGCTTGGATTTCTGCCTTCATTTTGGATTCTGCCATTATTTCCATCTGCCAATAAGAGGTAAAATATCACAAAATCAGAGTTCTTTGCTGCAGTTCTGTTAATTCAACAAACTAATCAGCCTTGACTTTTTTTTATTATTCACAACCACAACAGTAGTCTTCAGGATCAGCCAGGATATCCTGAGCTGCTACAGGAGCAACCATCAGAGGAGAGAATACCCAGTACAGATGCTGCAGTAATGAGGCATGGTCTGGGACCATTCATGATTTCTTTTTTCATTTTTTTTAATTTCATAAACTATGATRGGGCCATCAACAAAGGGTAAATAACCATGATAAGGGTAAAAATAGACCAGCTGCATCTGGCTGACCTCATCTATTAGCCTTCACATGATTCCATTTCAACAACTATTTACTGCTAAACCACAATAACATTAGTTGTTGGTTATATAAAATTACAAGTATGTTTTCAAAATATTATGTGAACAGCCACCATTAAAGCAAAAGGCAGTTAAACTTTATACAACACTTGAATTCAAAAAGAAACACCATATACTTCTCTTCTCCAAAATGGTTGGCAAGTAATATAAGGTCTCTTGAGGATGCTGTCAAGTTTCCCTTGATCCCGTTTTGTTAGTGGGATCAAACTATCTCTAGGTACATTCAGCCTGGTAAAAAATAAATGCAAAAAAATCAG